TTGGGTTTTTAATATATCTCGAGTTTAAATATTCATGTATTGGACTTTCCAATTAATTTACGAGAAATAGTAGAAAATTGGTCAATATGAAAAGTTTAAGAAAGTATATAGGCCACTTTTTAGTTATAGAAATTAATAGACTATAACTTGTCAAGTTATGGTTCATAACCAGATAAATTATGGACAAACTTGTCAAGTTATGGTTCATAGCCAGACAAGTTATGAATAAAAATCGTGAATTATGGACAATAACTTGTCAAGTTATGGTTTATAACCAGATAAGTTATGGACGAAAACAGTAATTTGGCATATTTATTAACTTATATAAACTATTGGTCTATTAATTTTAATTCATATCAACTATTAGCATATTTCTCTCTTTCTCCTTTAATTTACTCACATGATTGCCCATTGTCCAGCCCACACATAAAGAAGAGTATTAAAATATTAAATTATTATTAACCAACATCCTAACAGCTTAAGCTTTTAAGATGACAGTGCGTCCGTATGACAGTAAAAACATGCCAATGCAGCACCACTCCAGTTGAATCTATGAATTAGGTCAATCGTCAGTAGACTAGGTAGGTAATAAAGGTAAACCTTGTCGAAAATTAAGAAAACCCTAGTGAGGATGTCTTCGTCGTTGACAAGAAACAGCGAGGGGGGGTTGGATCCTGAGGAAACAATCTTACTATTTTTTTGGGTGAATAGGTCTGTTCTTACTGTTTTTTTTTCCTTTTTCTTTTCTTTCATTCACTTTTTTTTTTGTTTAAATGTTAATCAGTAATATAACAAGTTCTGATAGTTTATGCGGACTGCATATTTTCAGAAAACTCATATTTTGGGGTTTTTGTGATGTAATTGTTATGCTTATTTTGTTATTTTACTAGTTGAAATCCACATTCTGTGTGTTAATTTTTAGTAACAAATACTGATTATAATTTCTCAAACAAGAAAAAAAAATAAAAGAAAATAAAGTTTTAGTTTAAGAAGTCAAAAAAAGGTAAAAAGGACTAAAATGCAAAAAAATAAATAAATCTTAGGGCTTTGTGACAAAAATAAAAAATGCTAAAAAAAGCCACAATGAAGATATAAATCAGTGTTACAACAAAATGAACAAAAATATAAATAAAATAAAAAATATTACCAAATAAACAACAATGTCAATAGACAAAGGGGTTTAAACTAAATAGATAAATAAATTTTAGGACAAAAAGAATCATAACAAATAAAAAAGTAAAGTTTCAGGCACAAGTAAAAAAGGGTCAAAATATTGCCAAAATGAGGAATAAATAATCTTTAAGGGCTAAAATAACCTAAACTGATAATAAAATAATGTTTTTGGACAAAGATAAAAATGGTGGTTCAAAAAGGACTAAAATGATAAAATAACTATGTTTAAAGGTAAAAGACAAGAAGATAAATAAAAGAAAGGACTGAAAACCAAAGAGGAGAAGGGGCAAATTCGACCACAATGTCGCCGTTTAGGGTCAAAAGTGGCCCCAGTAGTAGAAAGCCAATCACTTCTAAGATTTTGTGCTTATTTTGCAATTAAGTTTTTATTTTTATTTTCTGAGGTGTTGTGATAGTGCGACAATTTTCATATTTTTAATTTTAATTATTACGTTTATTTTCTTATTTTTGTAATGATAATATATATATATTTTTAAAAGATTGTGATTACGCAAAAATGACGATAGACTATTCAAAATAAACGATTACAGTCTTCTTTTTGCGATCGCCAAATTTTTGACACACCTAATGCCATTGATTTACGCACCAAAAAATGAATGTTTTCTGAAACTAGACGAGAATTTCACTCTCGTCCACTATCATCTTTTACTAACCATGATCGGCAAAAAAAAAAAAAAAAAAAACAAAGATCACCAAATAATTTAATAATCAGCAATCGTCTTTTACTACCAATGCTTCATTGGCTGTCACGTTCTTGCTTTCTTTTTTATTTTTTCTTCTTAATTCATAATTATGCAAAGCAGCACAAACTACAGGAAGAGACACTTCTTCTTTGCCATGAAGTAAAGTAGTTTCTAAATGTTCAAACTCATTAGGAAGAGATGACAACAACATTACATCCAAATGTTCATCTCTAAAAGTTTTATCTAAGTTGAACAAGTCCGCTATGAACTGATTGAAAGCAGTAATGTGATTGTTCATAGTGGTACATGGGCGGTATTCAAAACGAAACAATATTTTCTTCATAAGGAGCTTATTCTAGCTTGCTTTTCATTAGAAATTTGTCCTCCAATGCCTTCCACAACTTGTTTGCAGAAGTCTCGTTCTTAAATGCATACTTTTGTTCTTTGGACAGGCACGAACGGATTGTCCCAAAGCCAAGCGGTTAATTGTCTTCCAATCCTTCTCTTCAACATCAACTGGTTTCTTTTCTTCGATGGCGATGTCTAGACCTTGCTGGAAGAGTAAGTCTAGTGCCTCGCCTTGTTACATGCCAAAATGATAGGTACCGTCAAATACCTCCACCGCAAGTTTTGCATTTGGAGTCCTAGTCCATGTAGACGAAGAGTTGATGCCGTATTAGTGGGAGACTTTGTTAGGGCTTCCTTCATTTTTGTAGATCAAATGTAGTATTCAATAGACAAAAATACAATAGGGCTTAGGGTGAATTGTCGACTCTGATACCACTTATTAGGGAATTTGATTATTTCTCACTTAAAAACAACTTCACCGTGAGCAATACTTGTGAATAGTACCGTACACGTGAATAATACCGTATATGTGAATAGTACATTATAGAAGAACAGTACTATAAGCAGTGGACAAACCAAACAGAATAACTATTGAATACTGAAAACAAATAAAAGAACACTAGAATTGAAAACGAAGTTCGGCCAAAAATTACCTATGTCTCCGGGCACTGTGGATCACTCTATTTACTAAAGAGAAGAAAGATTACAAATTAGGCAAAAATTACAAAAGCCTACAAATTGAAAATCTAAAGAATTTCCTACAAATTTACAAAGGGAATAAGATCTCAATTTTTGGGATGCAAAACAAATGAGGGGATGCCTGTATTTATAGTCTCTGCCTCCCCCTCTTCTACGCATGAACTAGTTGTAAACAACTGGGTTCACGTCCTAAAGTCAGCACCGTTTTCGGTGCTCTCTCCTTTTCTTCTCCTTCTCTGACTTTCTCTTTTGGTTTTCAACATAAGTGTGCAGCCCATATTTTTAACAATGAGCCACCCATATTGACTAATAATGACTAATGAGCTTTCACTTTATTGGGGGCGGTGCTTTGATTGATATCTGGTCTCGACCTTGTGTTCCGTGGCTACACCCGGGTCATCCCAGAGCATCCTTCATCCAATGCAGGGCCTAGAGGCCTCTTCTCCCGTGCATCGTCAGTTGGTCCGTGATCTGTTTATCCCGAATTCTCGAGAGTGGAATGAGGATCTTATTGCAAATCTGTTTGATGAAGAGTTTACGAATGCTATCTTGAAAACCTGAGTGCTGCTAGATCCTCATCCGGACAAGTTGAGTGGGAAGTTCTTAGTGAAATCTGCTTATAGGGCTATTGTGGAGCATCGGTTCAAGGAGAATGCTCCTTTGTGGAAAAAAAATCTAGAAAACTCGCATTCATGAGGCCTTTTCTGGGGATTGGAGGGTTTTTTCTTGTTTTTTTTTTTTTTCCTAAATGTATTCGGTTGATTGAACATGCTAGTTTGTTTGAGTTTAGGTGGATTCCTAAAGTTGAAAATGAGTCTGCTGATTCTATCGCTGAGTGGGCTATTAGAATAGAGTCTGTAAGTTCTTTTAGCCTTGAGGAGTTTTGGCCTTCAGGCTTTTTCATTCAATAAAGAGGTTTATTCAGGGAAAAAAAAAAAGAAAAAAAAAAGAAAAAAAAATTCAAAAAGAAATCATAAAAACCAAAAGTACTTTAAGAGGTTGTTTAGTTGGAGAATTTATCCCCTGATTTAAATTATAATTCGTGGTTCGTTACAATATTTTATCTCATAAAAAATACACGTAAATTAAAAATAATTCTAATCACATGATTCTAATCTATGAATCAAACGTGTCCAATTGGTTGAAAAGCAGTTTTAGCAAAGTAACCTCTTTTTTTTTTTTTTTGGTGAGCCAGTCGAGACATAATTCTCACATTTTTTTATTCCTCCATCTCCCTTATGGTACAAAGGAACAGTCCACGTATCCATTTCATGAAACGGACTTTTTAACAGCAAAAAGCACAAAATGTAATACCGAACTTTCGGCTGAGCAATCTAAATATGGAAGAGAAAAGCGAAAAGATAACTATATTGAATTATAGAATAAAATTTTTAGTTTTAGCAGTATCTTTTTGATTGTCAAAATCACATTCCTTTACTGATGTTGATGACTGAACTAGCATAGTCTCTCCCATCTTGGTAAAACATTCTTCATAATCATATTCAGAATCAGAATCAAAATTGTTGCCACGTTCAGAATCTGATTCAGTTGCAGATAAGCTTCCATGTGCAAAGTATTCCGAAACATCAGTCTCTGTCTCAGAGAGTTCAGATTGAAAGGAATCAGCTTCCATCTCTATTAGACCTGTGGAAAAGCAATCACAAGAACAAGCAACCTTCTTTTCTTCCTTCTCTAATTCTTTAGATTTCTTTGATTCCTTGGCGTCTTTTCTTGGACCGTCCAAGATCGAAACTGGATTCCTATCACTTGGGTCGCCATAAAGTGCAATGTGGCTGTAATACAGCTCCAGTTCCTTCTCAGCAACGGCAATGAATTGTCGAACAGACTCGAGTGATTGCTCGTACTTTGATTTTTCCAAAGCCTGTGAAGACAAAACAGAAAAGTTAATCAAGTCGGGAGGACAAGGCAGTTGGGACTTCTTTACAGATTTTAGAAGGAAAGCACCCCATCAATTAAATAGTTGAGAGGAAAATTTTTCCGAAGCTAAAAAAACAAAATATAGCCTCGAAGTATCGAAAAGCATAGAAAGGAAAAGCAGTAAAATCTGTCTTGAGATGCCCACAGTGTCAAGAGATGCGTTATTCGTTCCCATACGTTGGCGCTTAAGAAACTTCAGCATTTAAAAAGCCTCAAGAAAATCTTAAAAAACAATACAAAATCAAATACGAAAGAGACCACATATCTACAATTATGCTATACTAGGGAGCGTGCAATGCAAAAACTATAATGACATGCGGCGAAGTTAGACAAGGGTCTTGCACAAACAAAAGGCCCTAAAGGACAAGGAGACAAACAAGGTGTGTAATTTATGGCGGACCAAGATAGAGGAGAGAGATAAAGAAAGGAGAGAGAAAGAGAGAGAAATAGAAGTGGAAAAGTTAAGAATTTAATATCAATCATCAAGGTCCAAAGTGAAAATGCAATTGCTAAAGCACTTAGCATATTTTTAGATGATAAACCCCAACAATACAATAAACATAAAATCCTACATAAATTCTAAGTAAAATAATAAAAAGTTAAGCATGAAATAAAGTAACTCTAAACCGCATATTCAAGCCTAATATAAGTGTGTAATTTAGAGTTGTTTTATCGCATGTTTATCTTTACTAATGTATCCTTGTTTTATTTGACGTTTCATCAATAATAGGAGCTTTTTCTTATTACAAATAGAAATACTAAGTGAAAATATCTAAGCATATGGCTCTAAAAAGAAATGTGCATTTAACATTTGAAAATTTTATGTGATAACTACTTGTGAAATAAATAAATGAATAATGAAAGTTCTGAACAGATAAATGCCCATAAATTAGTAATAAGCTCCCTGCTTTGTACTCAATTGAAGCAATTTTAGAAGATTGTAATTTAGTAGACTCACCCTTTTCTTGGACAATGTATCTATGGGCGACATAATCTCAGGCTGCACATAATTTTTGCCTCGATAAAATATTATGGTGTCATTTCCAATTATCTGAATTGGGATCCCACCACTTAATCTGGCAATTTCTTGTGCATAATCATGAACTTGGCCAGGTTTAGCAGAATTGCAAATGACCTTCACAGTTTCATGTTTTTTCCAATGCATATGCATATTTAGAATTACACCTCCAAAAATTCCTCTTCTGCCAATTGGTACGTAATTAGACTTCTTTTGAGCCATTTTCTTCATATAGAATCGCTCCTCTCCGGTTATGTTGATCGGTTCCACAACAGGACCTTGTACTTTCAGAATTTCATACCGCTTAAGTCTTTCAATCAGCATAGCTTCCTTACTTTTGGCCTGAAAAGGAAATAAGAATAGGAGTTATACAACCAGCGTCATTAAAACTCGTCAGAGAAGCAGTGATATTAACATTTAGAAAGAAGAGTTGCCCCACGAAACAAAACATATTTGTCTGGTCCTGTTATCGGAGAACAGTTTTGAAAATAAATCAACAGGGGATGAGAAAACGAAAATTATCATCTTGGAATCCTTGCGGTTGCTTCCATAACCTTAAGGAGACGTTTGATTCATAGATTAGAACTATTTTCGATTTACGTGTATTTTTTGTGAGAAAAAATACTATAGCGAACCATGAACCATGATTTGAATCGGGGTACAAATCCCCCAACCAAACAACCCCTAAGTGTTTTGATAATATCAGAAGTTGGGAGACCCTGTCCTTTTCCTCACGATTGGTTGATTTATGCAAAACCCCAAATACTTCGGATCAGATCTAAAAAGGGCCAAGCTGATATTAGAAGACCCAGGTTTCCCTTTGGTTAAAACACCCGATTGTATGCAAACAGAAGGAACTTTATTGACATTAACTTCAACACCAGCTCTTACAAACAAAAACTAGCTAGAGAAAATTAAAGAAAACGAAATAGATAGACTGAAGTATTCGAGGACTCCAAAGAACTCCTAACTCGGTGGTATTCGAGAGATCACCAGCTTTTCGCAAAATCTTTCACAAATCACAACATAATGAAACTCTCCCCTTACCTCCCTTTTAGCCCCCTCTAATCCTAACCAAAACCAAGGTCTAGTAAGCACTAGCCAATTTCTGAAAATACACAACCAACCCCTAACCCCTCTTCTTTCTTTCCAATTTACCCTCCTCTCCTGGATTAGCCTAAGGGCTGGTCTCTAACACAACACCTATTGAAGATCGAACAGAACTGAATTTCAACAAAAAATGCGTCTAAGATTAGTTGATGATAATTCACATACATATAGGTAATTGACTGGTTGAAATATCACAATCTACAAACTTATACATGCCACACTACTTTTCTAGAATATGTAATCCAACTCATTGACAACAGGTTATTTATCAACTGCCACAGTCCAAGCACATAACTTTGGGTCTATCAAACTATAGACGTCAAAATTAAATTAAATCAAGTGTTTGCAATTGCTATTCATGACAAATTTTAGGGCCAAAACTTGAGCAGGCACTATTATCCATTAGAAACTGAAACTTAGAAAATCAAAGGCAATCTCCAAAAATATTTCATCAAGCACATTTAATCTCCAGACATAGCTTTGGTAAGCTTTTGGTGACAGTTTACACAAGGGCAACAAATAAAATTTGCATCTTTAATGTTATAGCTACCAAGTACCAACATCAGCCATAACAGCTAGTAAAGATGACACATCTTATCTATTACAGTTAGCATGATGCACAAGATCGATGCCTGGCAAGACAAGACAACCTATGATGTTGATTTCAGTTGCTGTTAAAGAAAATAATGCTCTCTAGTCTCTAACCAGTTCGGTATGAAACCCACAACCTAATCTTCTTATATCTTACCTAGTAGAGAGCATAAGGAAAAGATCTATCAGCTTGGTCTGTTCACTCCAGCCACCATCGTGCAAGATTAAGATACTTTTGAAAAAACAAAGGTACAGCAAAATTCTTCAAAAAGAGAAACCCACAAAGACACCCAAAGCTGAGTCCTATTCCATAGAAAAACTTTCCACTAAAATTTTGCATTAAAAACTCCAAGAATTCCTCTCAAGCAAAATGATCCAAAAAAATAGCAGGAACACCTCCACAATCAAATAGCTTTGCGTGTCCATTCCACCTGAAAACTACCCACCAACGAGGAACAACAATTTTGAGGGACCACATAACAGAACCCCAAATTGTTGGACTCTCTCTAAACATAGAGGTGAAGCATCACAACTCAAACGATGGGGAAAACTAGGGATAGAAACATCAAAGGACAAAAAATTCCATACAGCAATTACTCCCAAAATCTAATACTGGGCCCGTTACTCACCATCTGAGTAACAAATAAAAATTTAATACTCCTTCCTCGAAATCAATAGTATGTCCAAATTAGTAGTCGACCCAAGAAAATAATCACCATTTACTCAAAAATGAAAGAAACATTGCATAAATGTCTACACAATGCGCTTAGAAAACAATAAAATAATTTGAAACACTAATGGCCCATTTGATTCATACATTTAAGTCTGATTTTGATTCTGAAACAAATTTTGTGAGAAAACTTATTGGCGGGAACTTTTCTAATTCAAATTTTCAGTGAGAGAAAAGTACTGTAGCAGCAGAATCAGAATCATAGTTCCAAAAGTGCGAACCAAATGGGAAACTACAATACTTCAGAATATGGAGACAAATCATATCACAAAAATTAAGAGTTAATCTCACCTATGCCTCCAGGACTATAAGGTCATCTCACTTTGCCCCGGTTGTTCCATTTGTGACATCCACGGTTCCTAAACTCAGCAACTTGTCTTAGTTTGCGATCGTCATTGTCATTTCATTAATGTTTTTGGATGGAATTTGATAACTTTCTGTCAATTTTTCGGCAGAAACCATCAACTTCTTTTGAGTTCCTTTTTTTATTTTATAAATGGAATCGCTAATGTACCAGTAAAAAAATTGGCAGAATGTGATTACATATCAGAAATCAAAAATTTTGAAATTAGCCCTAAAAAAAACAGTTCAGTTTAATCACAGTTGCTTTTTATCCGTCAGTAATAATGGAGAAAGTGGTTTCTTTTTCTCCTCGTTATATCGTTGTTGAGAAATTATTTAAATCAACTAAAACACCCACCTTTTGAAGCTTGTACTTGATTCTCTCTTCCGCATTGGCAAACTTCTTCTTCTTGCCCTTGACATTAAGCCTACGAGGGTCTCTCTTATTCGCCGCTTTTCTCTTCTGCTTCTCTCTCTTCCTCTGCAGCTTCAACCTCTTCTTCGTCTTCCACTTCTCCTTCTTCGGAGGATCCACCTCCTGCGTTTCGAACTTCACTTTCCCTTCCGATATCACCAGATTCACCGATTGGCTCAAGCTTCTGAAAATCCAAGTTGAGTTTGATGGGACGGCACCGATCAAGTGTTTGGATGGACATAAAATCGACTCTTGCAGCGCCGGAAAAACCGACCTGGATGAAAATTAGCGGGAAAAATAGTGTAAACAAAACGAATAACAAAGTTGAGCTGTTTGGATAAAGGGAAAATTTCTCTAAAAAGTAGAAAGAGAGAGAAAATGAAACATAGGAAGCAAAAAACGAAACTGAATACACACATATTATATATATATACACACACGATACATATATAGAGTGAGAGAGAACAGCGTACGTGAGAGAGAAAGAGTTACGAGGCGAGCGTTTGAAAAGCGAAGAAGAAGCCCTAAAGAAGCTACGAAACAAAACTCTCGCCATTTTTCTCCATAACTTTTTCTTTCTCGGAGAATGATAAAAGAAAACTGAAATGACGACCGGTCCATTGGAACCCGGTTCAACCCGTATCGATCCGGTCCGCTTTGAGAATTTTTATTTCTTGAGCGATGATCCTCCGGGCCCTGGTTTAGCCCGCGGACCACGTGTCGCTGAAATAAGGAATTGGAAATAAAAAGTTGACGTTTACTTTTTCGATTTCTCCAATCACACTGCTACACGTCAGCACCATTTGAGCCCCCATATTTACCACATGAACCCTCCTTCTCTCTCTCTCTCTCTCTCTCTCTCTCTCCCTCTCTCTCTCTGCGTCTCTGAACCTTCGAAACCTAAGCAACGCCTTTCCATGTTCTTCACGATCATCTGACCAGGATCGGGTCGCAAATTTTTCAGTACGTATATTTATTATCTGCTTGTTTTCGATTGTATTTTTTTTTAATTAATTGTTAAGGGAAAATTTTTAGGGTTTTCTTATTCTTTGCGTTGCGCGGACCAATTTGCTGTTGTCAATTAATTTTAAGATGGTTCGGAGTTACAAATTTTAGATTTTTGGGTTTTTTTTTTAGCTCGAAAGTTGAAGAGTTTTATTAGAATAGAATTGCTGTTATTTAGAGCCCTAGAAATCCTCAATGCTTTGGTTTGATCTAGTTGTTCGTTTATTACTTGAGTAATTTATACGGTTGTCTTTCCAATCTTCTGAAAATTTAGCAAAAATTGTTTATTTGATATGAGTTTTGTCTTGGTGGAGGGTTTTTTTTTATTATTTTACGATGAAATTCTGAAAAGCATCAAAATTATACGACCATTTTTTTAAAACCATTGATCTTGTTAGCTATCAATAACTACGATTGCATATCAAATTCAAGTAGCGGAATTTGAAATTTCCGTTTCTGTTTTATTTGCTATTACTCAATGTTTTTGGCAAATTTAGAAGGAACCAGTTTAGCATTTGAATTTATGATGTATACTTGGAATTGGAAGTTCATGAAGGGAAACTTTCTTATTGTTGCAGTGGAGTTTGGCGTTGATGGCGATGTTAATGGAGACATTTTGCGAAATTCTGTTGAGGTGGAGACTAGTAGGGGAGGGGATGACAATGAAACCGGTGGAAGTTCCGTTGAGGGTGCATTCCAGCAGGATCAACATGAAAAGATGGACCAAGATTCTTCTGGGATAGATATAATTCCAGTAGGAGTGCCAGCCACATCGGTGGTTCAAGCAGATGAGCCTTATGTGGGGCAGGAATTTGAATCTGAAGCATCTGCACATGCATTCTACAATGCGTATGCCACACGCATTGGGTTCGTCATCCGTGTAAGCAAACTCTCTCGTTCAAGACGTGATGGATCTGCAATTGGACGTGCACTTGTTTGTAACAAAGAGGGGTATAGAATGCCTGACAAGCGCGAAAAAATTGTAAGGCAAAGGGCGGAGACAAGGGTTGGTTGCAGGGCAATGATTTTGGTGCGGAAAGTGAGTTCTGGTAAATGGGTTGTTACAAAATTTGTGAAGGAGCATACTCATCCTTTGACTCCTGGAAAAGGTCGAAGAGATTGCATCTACGATCAATATCCGGTTAGCTCCTGCTGTTCTTTGTTTAAAGTTGGTTAACCACATTAGTCGTACTTATACACACAAAAGTATTCTCTTTAATATGAAAAGTAGAAGATTCAAATCTTTTGTTCTCTTTACATGATAACATGAGTATGTTTGCAAATCTGGAAGAATCTCAATGAAAACTCCTCTGACATTTGCGATTGATAATTGGTTATTGCAAGTGTAATTTACTACGTAATTTGCCACTAAATCCTGCATGTAGTTTAGGATTTTTCTTTCCTTTGTCGTGTTGATTTTGCTGTGATGAAAGGGAAAATAATTCCTAAAAGAAGTGGAGGGGCCATCACCTTTGTCTGATTTGTTTCCATGATTTTATTTTTCATCTGTCTCATGAATCGTGATATCCCAATTTGTTCATCATGTTTCATTCTGAAAATTATTTATTTAGATTTCATTATTTTCTGTAGTTCAACTGAGTGATTTCTGATTGCTCTTATTTGTTTTCATGCATGAGGGTTTGTATCTAATCCTTTTGTTTTTAATAAGAGGTTGTGATCTTTAGATTTTTTTTTTTTTTTTGGTATGATTGACGGTCCTTTTTACCCAGTTTTTCAATTCTCTCAAACTATGTGGAGGGAAAACTCCAAACATTGTAATTTTTGCATGGTTTAATGCCTCATGGAAGATTTAGGCCCGGTTCTTTTCGCTGCTCTCAGAAATAGTCACATCTAACTTTTTTGCTACAGTAAAAAGCTCTCACACAACATCACATCTTAACTCAAATTAAAAACTCGAATTAGTGAACCGAACGGGCCCTTACTGTTGTTAATTCATTCAAAGGAGGCCTCAGGCTTTTTGTCCTCCTCCTGGCGTGTTTTATGCGAATAAAGTGATGCAGTTTTTGACTTATGGACAACATGCTTTTGCATTGTCTTATACCAATGAACTGGTTTAATTATCTCGGTTTACCAGCAATGCTGATATCAATAACTCAAGTTAATGACCCATATTTTTTTTTTTCCGAATATAGGTTTACTTTATACTTTTGAAGGTATATAGTATAAGGGTGTGTTAGGGACACCAAGTACCAACTTACGTGGCATAGAGTTTGTCGTCTTTTCAAAAGGATTCTAATGTTGTACTCATACCCAAAGTCCTATGGCATCTTTCGACTTGGTATTTTGACTCGCTCACACCTAGATCTCGTGATCCTGAAATTGTAAGGCATGTAGTGGTACAGCCTTCGATAAGTATCATAACTCTCTTCTCCACATATATTGCTTTTGCAGAATGAGCATGACAAGATCAGGGAACTATCCCAGCAGCTGGCTATAGAGAAAAAGCGAGCAGCTACTTACAAAAGGCATCTAGAACTGATATTTGAGCATATCGAGGAACACAACGAGAGCTTATCAAACAAGATTCAGCACATAGTAGACAGTGTGAAGGGCATGGAAACGAAAGAGGAGCAAAGTCGTAGATAGTTTCGGTGAGTTGAAGCTTTATTTTTCGGTTTTGATGAGTGACAAAAAAAGGCAATGGTTTGAAGCACGCTGCTGGACGAAGGGTGCATTAGTACTATATGCCATAACTCAACGTTGTGCTTCATATCCGTTTTAGGTATTATAGTCAGTATCTATAGACTGGATGTTTGGGCCAGTGGCATTCATTATTAGATTTGTCTCTGTATTGACTTTGACTATGCGCCAATGTCTGAAACAGAAAGGGGGTGGTAGATGAAATTAGGTTAGTCATGTATAGGTCCATTGAGCCCATCCTTGGGTAGATCACTTATAATGGGATTTCTGATATCCCAAGGAAATTGAATTATTCCATTGTGTTTCATGTGGAAGAATCCATTTGTTTATGCTTGTACAGTATGGAATTTTCTCTCTTTTTTCCCCTTAATTCTTTTTTTTTTTTTTGAAAGAATTTTCCCCCTTAATTCTCAAAGCCCTCTATTGGATTTTTTCTTTTTTTAGAGAATTACTAACCTTCCTTTTAAGAATGCATGGATCTTGATTTTTAACATTTATTCTTGATTAATACTATTTTGACTAATATAGTTATCTGACTAAACCACTCTAAAAGTCTCCTTCCTTCCTTTCTTTCTTTCTTTCTTTCTTTCTTTCTTTCTTTCCCTCTTTTTTTTAGGGATCTACTAGATAATTCTAAATGCAGTACCAAGATAATTATAATAATAAATAAAAGCTAATTCGGATGGCAACTTTCCCCCACACTTCCACACTCTGTTGGTTGGTGGGATTAGTAAAACCATCTCCTTTCTTGGAAGGAGAAGTTTAGTGAGAGGAGATGTGCGGGGATGAGTTTTCCCGGACCCGTCAATAGGTCTTACGGGATGAGTTTGCCCGGACCCATCAATAGGAGGGAGATAAATCAATTGGAGGGAATTATTCAGGTCTCGTTCATTTCACCTATTCGAGTTTTACTACAGTAAAAAACTTCAGAAACAGTTGCATCTAATTTTTTTGTTACAGTAAAAAACTCTTACATAAAGTCACATCTAAACTCGAATTAAAAATTTAAATCAGCGAATTAAACGGTTAAATAATAAATTATTAGCTTATTTGAAATCAACATAGGCAATAGTTATGCTGCAAATAGAGTTCTATCCATTCTTTGATTTGTCCTTCTAACAACGAACAAAGAAATGGAGACTCGTCTTCTTTCCTTTGAATCTTACCAAGATGAAGAAAAGCTATTTCCAACTTCATCATCCTTTGACTCCCCATCCTTCCTCAAAACTACCTTCATTGTTTTTACGTCACATCCTGTGCTACTCACTTGTTTCTCTTGAAACACCCAACACTAATTTGGATGCCACTTTTCTTTTCCAAATTAGATTTTTTTTAAAAAAAAAAATCTCTCTATGAGATGAATAAATAAGTATGTTGATAATTTAACTTATAATTTAAGTTGAACTTGAACACGATACGCTAATAGCGTTTTTTTTTTTCCTTCTTTTTTTTTTTTTTCTCTAACGGATGCCAACAATGATTCAATAATAATAAGCATAAATAAATAAAGTCAATTGATAATTACTTTTCCAACTAAAAATAATATCATAAAAATTTTCACAATAACAGTGTAAACTTATTATGAAGTTTTAAATTTAAATTTAAATAAAATTATGGTTATATGAAAATCAACAATTTCATATTAAAATCAACAATTTCAGCATAATGATGATTGAAAAAAAAATACTTCAAAAAATGATACATCTTCTCTACTATAAATAGTAATAGTATAAATGTATAGTAAAAAGTATAGAGATTCACAAGTTAAAATATTTGTAAAAATAATAAAAGATACTAAATGAGGCTTTAAAGAGAAAAATATTGTAATGGGAAACAATTAAAAATATAAGTTTTGAAAAAAAAAAACAAAAAAACAAGTGCTAAAGTAAAAACATGCGGCAAAACGTGGAGAAAAATTTCAAAGTATGAAGGCAAGAAGCTGAACGAAAAGTGCAACATTCATCCACACTTAAAAACTATTTTTATTTTTGTATTTCAAAAAACGTATAAAAATATTTTTAAAAATACTCAAAAAATAATTCTAAACCCACTCTATATTTTTGTTTCGAGTTGAATACATCGTTGAAGTAACAAGTAAGGACTATGCCTTCACGATGACCAAAGGGTATTTTTCAAAACCTTAGAGAAAGTGTCAAGTTTAAAACCCTAATTTTCAAGAGTAAAGAATTTCTCTCTCTCCCTCTCCCATTTTTCAAAACCTTAGAGAAAGTGTCAAGTTTAAAACCCTAATTTTCAAAAGTAAAGAATTTTTCTCTCTCCCTCTCTCTCTCCATCTCTTTCCTCCCTCGTGCTCTCTCTCTCCCGTTGGTTTTATGTAACCCACCCGGACACCTCGTGCTTGAGTTATCTCTCCGGTCTTCCTACCGTCGTCGTCCTCTCTCTCCATTTCCTCAACTCTCGAGCTCTCGAGTTTTCTTCCGGTAAATTAATTTCTTTATTTTAATTACAAGTTTTAGCTAAATGAAACTGACTGCGTTTTTTACATGTATTCGTGTTTGAACATTCGGTGTAATTTTTTATCTGCCTTAAGGTATTTATGCAGATTTAAAGATATATTTATGCCTTTTTAATTCTATTAAGTAGATGAATTTGACTTTCATTTCATTTCCGTTCATTTTGCAGATAATCCTTTGTTGAATTTGATTTTCCCAATTTCCAACATGTAAATGAATGAAGAAATAAAGGAGGACAATTTTGTATACGCATACATTTTCCAGTTAACGAGTTTGTGCCAATGTTTTATTTTGTTAAAAAGTAAAGATAATTAGTTAATGTATTCTTTATGTGGCACTTAGAATTTAGAACTTATGATAAGCATATTCATCAAGTAGAAGAAGACAAAAGTTCCTCGTAGTATTCTTCCCCCTTTTTTTCCCATCATATAGCCTAGGCTCCAAACAGAGCCTTTACTTAGCAGGAAAAAACCTTAGGCTTGTTTGGTTCATGCGTTCAAATTAGTGATTCTTGATTCTGACATTTGAAATTCAATTTTTTGTGAGAGGAAAATACTGTAGCAGAATCAAAACCATGAGTTTAAACTCATGGAACAAACGGGCCCTTAGTGTAGGTAGGTGAGGACCACTAAGTGGAGCTGCTAGTTGTGACTGGTTGTCAGGAAACTTGCCAAAGCATCATTCTCTGACAAGACGGGTGTATGTTTAGTTGCACAACCCTTGGTACTTCTGTATGTATAATTTGTGTTTATGCTTGTATCTATATGTGTATTTGGATTTCCCTTTTGTTTATTTTGTGGTTTCAAGGTGATCTTTGGGTGGTATTTTTGTCGTTGTTATCTGGGGAATATATATTTCTAGTTGAAGAAAGGAAAGAAAAATGTTAGATGATGGGTCACAAAGTAGTTTATTTAAGGTTTCTATGACCTTCGGGATAAATGCAATGAAGGGGACGAAGTAGTTTACGACTGTGTCAGTATTGTGTGTCGGGCTTTTTAATGGCTGTATAACTTTAGCCAGTGACATGTGTCTGGCTCAATAGCAACTGGGTTTAAGGTTATAAAAAATGGAGTTTTTTACGTTTTATCCTTCTTATTGGTGCCAAGAATTATTATTATTATTATTATTATTATTATTATTATGAGAAAAAACTTTATATTGAATATTGATGCCTAGAAATGATGGATACAGTATAAGAAATGAATTAAGGAAAACAGTCACCAATCAATACCTTTTCAGCTTAAGTTTCTCATTGATTTGTTTCCTAAAGTTTGGATGGTGTTTCGTGAGAGGTATAATTATGCATTAAGTTGAACATTTTGGTTTTGAACAGCAGGGTCTCCCACAAAGTCTTTTGTAAAAAATGAAGAAAATGATAGCTCTTGGATTTGAGGGTTCAGCCAACAAAATTGGTGTTGGAGTTGTAACCTTAGATGGCACTATTCTGTCAAACCCACGCCACACTTACATTACCCCTCCTGGCCAAGGCTTCCTTCCCCGAGAAACTGCCCAACACCATCTGCAGCATGTACTTCCACTTGTCAAATCCGCTTTGGAAACTGCCCAAATAACTCCGGAAGAAATTGATTGTCTCTGCTACACCAAGGGTCCTGGAATGGGAGCCCCTCTTCAAGTTTCTGCTGTTGTTGTCCGGGTTCTTTCCCAGCTGTGGAAGAAGCCCATTGTTGCCGTTAATCACTGTGTTGCACATATTGAGATGGGACGTATTGTGACTGGAGCAGATGATCCTGTTGTGTTATATGTTAGTGGTGGGAATACACAAGTAATTGCATATAGTGAAGGGAGGTATCGAATCTTTGGAGAGACTATCGATATTGCTGTTGGGAATTGCTTAGACCGATTTGCAAGAGTTTTAACACTCTCCAATGATCCAAGCCCTGGATATAACATTGAGCAGGTATGTGAGTACAATGCTTTTTTTATTTTCAAGTTGAGCGTTTGTATTTTCATGGCCTAAGCCTTTTCCTTTCTTAGCTGTTTTCCCTCCTTGTCTCTTATCAAGATTTGCTTCCATTGATTTATCTGCGTTTTGATTGAAAACAAAATTTATATGCAGCCATTCCCTACCAAAATAACCTGTCCATACTCTAGTCTTTATTTTTTGTTCCCGGCACCTTTCATACAGTGGAATGTACTCAATGAAAGGTTGTTTATTTAAAAAAAAAAAAACTCATATCACATGTATTAACTTCTGCAGAGGTTGCCCTTAGTACCGTTTATCAAACTTCATTTACCAGTGTTTAATTAACATTGTTTGAAGAAATTGCTTTGATGCTATCAACTTGTGATGCTAAAAATCTCTATTTTTTTCTTTCTTTTTTTCTTACTGTTGGTGGTTGACTTGTTTCGAGTAATACATGTATTAACTTCTGCAGAGGTTGCCCATAGAACCGTTAATGAAACTTCATTTACCAGTGTTTTATTAACATAGTTTGAAGAAATTGCTTTGATGCCATCAACTTGTGATGTTAAAAATCTCTTTCTATTTATTGTTTTCTTTCTTTTTTGTCTTACTGTTGTTAGTTGTCTTGTTTTGCAAAATGAATCTGTAAATGATTCTTATTTTCAAGTTTCAATTTGAACTTTTGTGATTTTTTTTTTCTAGCTTGCTAAGAAAGGAGAACAGTTTATAGACATTCCTTATGTTGTCAAAGGAATGGATGTATCTTTCAGTGGACTTTTAAGTTATATTGAGGCCACTGCCGAGGAAAAGCTCAAAAATAATGAGTGCACCCCTGCAGATTTGTGCTACTCCCTGCAGGTAATGTACCGTGATTTTTTATCTTCTTTTAGTCGTATTGGTAAAAATCTTACCAGCAGAAAAGTTTGTACTTGTAATAAAACATTTCACTTTAAAAAGGGTTTTTATGTCCTAAAGAGTTGGAATGGAAATTGTACTTGTACCTACAATTTGATAATTGAGGTTATTAAATGTTGCAGGAAACCGTTTTTGCGATGCTTGTGGAGATCACAGAACGGGCAATGGCACATTGTGACAAAAAGGATATTCTTATTGTTGGTGGTGTAGGCTGCAACGAGCGGTTGCAAGAAATGATGAGAGTAATGTGCTCGGAGCGTGGTGGAAGGTTGTTTGCCACTGATGATAGGTATTGCATTGACAATGGGGCCATGATTGCTTATACTGGTCTTCTTGCTTTTGCTCACGGCGCATCGACCCCACTAGAGAAATCGACATTTACCCAGCGGTTTCGGACAGATGAAGTCGAAGCAATATGGAGAGGAAAAAATGAGCCTGCAAACGTGAACGGGGTCATGGCTGGGAGCGCATAGATCTACGAGGTATGCGGGTCTTTCTTTTTATTTTTATTTATTTTAAACTTTTTGTTTATTTTCTAACCTCGCTGCAACCAAGCTTTCCATACTAGACCTGGCGAGGGTATTTGAATGATCGTTGAGAATGTTGTAATTTAAGCATGATGGTTTGGTCATATTTGTACGTGGGTATGGCCGCAACTGTATGGAGTTTCGCTAATGTTGGTGTAGATCTTATTTTCGGGGACAGAAAGTAGTTTGTATTAGGAAAGGAAAAATTCAGTCCCAAGAAATCTCGTATATGGTAATGCTTTAAATTTTTTATTTTTGAAATTCAGTAGTAACAAAGGAGTTTCGCTATCGTTGATTTTTAAAATTTAAATTTTTTACGAGAGAAAAACACTGTAACAAATTAAGAATTATAATTTTAAATCAGAGCAGAACTCTCGAAACAAAAGGAGCAATATGAAAATTGCGTCCAAGGCTTTCCAAAATACAAGTTCAATAATTATTCGTTAATAGCCTGAAAAATACAATTTTTTTCAAAATATACTCGACGCTACGAAATGTGTCGTACTGATATAGTCTATACACTAGTCGCGGCAAAAATAAATAACTAGACAAATCTCCTACTTTAGGTGCACGGATTCAACAACCAGGTATTGCTGTGGCAATAGAGTTGCAATATTTCTCAACTCACGGATTATAACTAACTAAAGATTAACGGTCTCATTCATTTCACCAATTTGAGTTTTTAATTCTAAATTTTTATAGTTAAAAGCTTTCAGAAAATGTTATATCTCGTCTCGAATTAAAAACTCAAATTTGTGAAGTGAACGAGATTTTATAATAAGATGAAACGTTCACAGAATAGTGGCCTCAATAGATATTGTGTATTGCATGCTACGCAATATGAAGGGTACAAACCTGTGGTATTTTCACAACTGAATACCAAACTTCTAAATGCCACAGCCAAAATCTGGAAATAGCCTTATAAAGGTAACACTGTTGCGCTCGAATAGCCTTCCCCACTGTAAAATGATCAAAATTGTTTTAGGGTAAATTGCACTCATACACCCTAATGCATGTTGCACCATGAACTTTTAATTTTGGTCATAGGATCTTAAGTTTTGCTCTTAAGTTTTGCAATCTTAACGATATAGTCCAATCGATCATAAACTACAATAAATAGAGGTAATTAAATGCAGAAGGTTTGGAGTGCATTTGTGTAAAAATCTCAGGCAATTTGCGTCCGTCAATTGATGTTCGTTAGTTATTGGACCACAATTGTAATAAGCTTTAAAATTTAGGGTCCAATTTATCAAATTAAGGGGTAGTTTGTTATGATGATTTGTGTCATGAGTCGTGACTCGCTACAGTATTTTCTCTCATAAAAAATACACATAAACTGATAATGATTCTGAATTCATGAACTAAACGTTCACTAAAAATTTGGAATCAAATACGCTAAATACTGATAATTCTGGGTGCACCAATGCAATTTATATATATATGTATGTATGTATTTAGATTAATCACAAAAATTTCTCTCGCACTATGATCCTTAGCACTTTATTCTTGAACTTTTATTACTCTATTATGACCCGTATAGATCGCTGATTCGAATTTTTAATTTGAGTTGAGATGTAATTTTATGTGAGAGTTTTTTACTGTAGTAAAAAAATTAAATGTAACTATTTTTAAAAATTTTTTACTGTAGCAAAATTTAAATTAATAAAATAAACAAAACCTTAATAAATTTATCCCTTCTATTATTTTGAGTGATAAAAAATAACTATATAAGTGGCACATGACAAAAATCTAAGGATATTACGACAAGAATTTTCCTATATTAAAAGTGATTAACTTAGCTGATAAAAATTTTCGAACCATGAGATTTTAGTTCATAAATTAAAATCATAAAATTAAAATCATAAAATTAAAATTATTTTTAATTTACGTATATATTTTATAAAAAAAATATTATAATAAATTATAAATTATAATTTAAATTATGATATAAATTTCCTTACCAAACGTGCTATAATTTTCGACGGATCTTTCTCCACTGCTTGCTTCCGGTCTGAGTCTGACTTTCGAGTAAATAGATAGTTGCAAAATCCAGTTTTCGGAACGCCACTTCTTTCTTTCGAAGCTCCAAAAGAACAATAGAAACCTTCATTTTTCACTCGAAAGCTCCAAAGAAAGAAAAATGTTGGTGGCTTTGTACAGGCACGCAAAAAAGCCTCTCCGTTTCCTCTCTACTTTCCCACCAACCAAACACCATCTCTACAGCTCCCGTCCTTCAATCCCCGAAACCCTCAATGTCTCTGGCATCCCTCCGTCAAAGAATCACGTCTACGCTTCATTTTTCTGTACTCTGATACACCTCTACTTGGCGGGCGGCAGATTTTCCGACGCGACGGACGCGTTCTCTCGTATGCGAAATCGCGGTCTCGTTCCGGTCTTGCCTCATTGGAATCGACTTCTCTACGAGTTCAACGCCTCCGGTTTGGTCTCTCAGGTACGGCTTCTTTACTCCGAAATGCTCTCATGTGGTGTTGTGCCCAATCTCTTCACTCGCAACGTATTGGTTCATTCGTTGTGCAAATTGGGAGATTTGGTTATGGCGTTGGATTTGCTTAGGAATCATGAAGTTGATACTGTCACTTATAATACTGTCGTTTGGGGTTTCTGTAAGCAAGGATTGGCTCATCAGGCTTTTGGGATTTTGTCTGAAATGGTGAAGAGGGATGTCCCTATTGATTCTTACACCTGCAATACGATAGTTAACGGGTTTTGCCGAATCGAGTTGGTGGGTTATGCTGAGTGGGTTTTTGATGGTTTAGTGAAGGGAGGAATTCCGCGGGATGTGGTAGGTTTGAACACATTGATTGATGGATATTCCAGAGTTGGAGAGATGAGTAAGGCGGTCGAGTTGAGGGAGAATTGGGAGAGGGAGGGTCGTTTTTCCGATATCATTAGCTACAATGCTTTGATAAATGGGTTTTGTAAGATGGGTGATTTTGATAAGGCCAAGAGACTTATTGATGAGATGTTAAGATCTCAAAGGCATGGTGCTTCTGCTTGTTCGGGATCCGATGTGGCTCGGGATCATGATAGAGGCGTCAATCTTAAACCAAACCTTGTCACCTACTCCACAATTATTGGAGCGTACTGTAAGCAGCAAGGACTTGATGAGGCTCTTGCTTTGTATGAAGAGATGGTTATGAATGGATTTTTTCCCGATGTGGTTACTTGTAGCTCCATTCTGTATGGCCTTTGTAAGCATGGGAAATTATATGAAGCGAAAGTGCTCTTGACAGAGATGGAGCAGATGGGTGTGGATCCTAATCATGTATCTTACACTACTTTTATTGATTCCTTGTTTAAGTCAAGGTCAGAAGTGGAAGCTTTTATGCTTCAATGCCAAATGGTGGTACGGGGACTTGTTTTTGATTTGGTTGTGTTCAGTGTTATCATAGATGGACTTTTGAAGGTCGGTAAAGCCAAGGAGGCAGAGGAGACGTACAAAACTTTAAGGCTTAATTTTCTTCCAAATCACATCACATACTCTATATTAATAAATGGACATTGCAAATTGGGAGACATGAAGAATGCAATGTCCATCCTTCAAGAAATGGAGGAAAAGCATATTTACCCAAATTTCATCACTTATTCCTCAATTATAAATGGCTATATGAAGAAAGGCATGATCGATGAAGCTATTGACTTAGTGAGGAAGATGAGGCAAAGAAATGTTTTGCCAAATGCATTTGTTTATGCAGCACTAATTGATGGATATTTCAAGGCAGGTAAGCAAGAATTTGCTTTTGACCTGTATAATGAAATGAAATCAGCAGGATTGGAGGAAAACAATTTTATACTTGATGCATTTGTGAAAAACTTGAAAGAAACCAGGAATATGGATAAAGTTGAGGGATTAGTCAAAGATATGACTTCTAGGGGCTTGTTGCTTGACCTTGTTAATTACACATCTTTGATGGATGGTTTCTTTAAAATGCAAAATGAGTCCGCAGCTCTTAGCTTAGCCCAAGAAATGACAGATAAAAATCTAGGATTCGATGTTGTTGCATATAATGTCTTGATAAATGGTCTGTCAAGGCTTGGGAACTATGAGGCACAATCCATCTATAATGGAATGAGAGAGTTTGGTTTAGCTCCTGACAATGCTACGTACAACACCATGGTTAGTGCATATTGTAGACAGGGGAATTTTCAAAATGCATATGAGCTTTGGAATGAGATGAGAAGTCAAGGTTTTATGCCAAATTCAAATGCCTCTAATAGTCTTATAAAATCCCTTTGTGATGCTGGTGAAACTGAAAAAGCAATGGATTTGTTGAACAAAACGTTGGTAGACGGGTCTATCCTCACCTCAAGTACTCATGAAATACTACTTAAGGCCTCTTCTAAGCGTAGACGGGCGGAAGAAATTTTTAAAATGCATGGGAAACTCTTAGGTTTTGGCCTTAAACTTGATCGGGTGGTTTACAATAATCTCATTTCAGTATTATGCAGGGTTGGAATGACTAAAAAGGCCACTTCAGTGTTGAAAGAAATGAGAGAAGCAGGAATTTCAGCTGATACTTCTACGTACAATGCTCTTATTCATGGATATTGCTTAAGTAGCCATCTACAAAGGGCTTTTACCACATACTCGCAGATGTTAGCTGAGGGAGTTTCTCCAAATAATGAAACGTACAACCTTCTTTTAAGGGGTCTTTGTGGTGCTGGTTTTATGAGAGGGGCAGAGAAATTTTTAGATGAAATAAAAGAAAGAGGCTTTGTTCCTGATGCTTCTACTTACAATACTTTGGTTTCTGGCCATGGTAAAGCCGGGAATAGAAAGGAATATATGAAACTTTATTGTGAAATGATAACAAAGGGTTTTATTCCTAGAACTAGTACCTATAATGTGCTCATTGGTGATTTTGCTAAGGTGGGAAAGATGAGCGAAGCAAGGGAGCTTATGAATGAAATGCTGTTAAGAGGAATAATGCCCAACTCGTCAACGTATGATATACTAATCCGTGGCTGGTGTAAGCTATCAAAGCGTCCGGCCTTGGAGAGGCCGCTGAAGAAGTCGTATCTGGTTGAGGCAAAAAGACTATTGGTAGAAATGCATGAAAAAGGTTATGTTCCTTGTGGAAGTACACAGCAATATATAAGTTCTACCTTTGCTAGACCAGGAAAGAGAACTGATGCTGAGAGGCTGTTGAAAGAAATGTACAAGAGAAAGAACTCATGATGAATGGGTGAAAGTAGAAGATAAGAAATTGGCTTAAGGAATGAGATTCATTTCCTATTTAAACAAGGATCATTGATTCAAAAATGAGGAAAGCAACTGCAGACATGACTTACTTGGACATAAAAACCCTTAAGGGAGTTTCTTTAAGATCAGGTTATCTGGTTGTTGGCGCCAACTAGCTGAAATTATCGTGTCTAAATATGAAAGAGGTAGGGCTCAAAATAATCTTGCTGATCCTTATCCTAATTATTAAAGCTCAAGTTGTTCAGATTCATTTATATTTTAGATAGTGTGCTTTCAGTAAATGTCCTTTTAAGGTGACAATTTTCTATTTGATATAGTAAAACTGATTTATTCATTTCTATTTTGCATGGGACAGCCAAGTACTTTGTAGTATGTTACCTTAAGAGCTTAGCCTACTACCTTACATGAATTGAAGCTGGCCATTTAACATGGGACCAAACAATACACAGGAAATTATTCTTTTTCTATGGTAGGGTTATATTGTCCCCATGAGACTTTTAATGTAATGGTGCTTATTAGAAACAATTTATCTTTCCTATTTCTGCTATTATTTGCATTTTCTAAACTTTCTCGGTATAATTATTTAAACTGTTTCCAACTCTTCTTATTTCGTACAAGTCACAAAATATAATGAAAAAGTCGAGGACCAATGTTTCTCTCTGAGTAGTAACTTTTGCACATTTGTTCGTCATACATAAATTGGTTTATCTAATATTTTTTCCTTCATCAGCATTACTACTACAGATCTCTTTGAAGCTGGTTAAGTTCGTTGAATTATTATTGTTGATGTTGCTTTTTCTTGTTTTATTTTAACTGTCCTACATTACTTTGTTGCAGGGATTTGGTTGTTTATTGTCCGTGGAATAATGAAAGATACTTCAGAGGGTGGGTATCTGCACATTCTGTTGGGGAGACGTTGAATTAAAGGTTTTTAACTTAATGCAGGTAATTGTTGAATTTTGCTTCACAGTGTCAGTACAGGTTATAGTGCTTCAATCTGCTTGATATGAATGATTAGTTTCCTATATCTGCGGAGTCCACTGTATCTATATTTTGCAGTAGAATTATTAACCAAGATATAAATGAGACATGAATAGTCTGCACGGTTATAATTAATTTAAGTTACATGTGACACTTTCCGCTAACTTTTTAACGGAACACAAGTAAGGGAAGATTTGGGATATCAGGAGAGTTGAATGATCGATTTTGCAAAAGTTTAAGTACACAAACTAACTCTAGAAATGAAATTTCGGGGTCGTTTGATGAATTAAACCATGTTTTTGGTCCAGTTTTCTAACTTTCTTAGAACACCCTTTGCCTTTCTTGTCTGAGTCTGACCTTAGACCTAGACTAACTCTGACCTTAGTCCCTCAACGCTGTCATGACTCAGCCCCAACCTCCAACACGTGGGCTCCACCACTCTCTGCTCTGCCACAAGTAGTTGCCAGTGCTTCTCACTGTTGCCATCCTTTCAGCCTCATCCAATCCCAAAGCCTCTGCTCCCGATTGCTCATGAAATCTCCGTTCGTTCTGAGTCTACGATGCTGAGGTCGATTTTTTGTTGCTGGTTCATTTTTCCTTGTGTATTTTGATTTTCTATTTGTGAGGTTAAGAGACTGGTTGCTAGTTTTCTTGATTTCTTCTTTGCTTTGATGTTTTACCTGAATAATTTACATATATGTGGATTGGACACACAATATTCGTTTGTGGCTGGATTATTTTTAGTAATAATTTACTTTGTAGGAAAAAGCTAGAATGTTGGTATGTGATGACTATTAAGTGGGGCTGCTAGTTGTGCAAAAATAAGCCCAACCCACAATATTGGGCAGTCAAGTAGATTACTGGGAGTGACCCTTATACCGAAATCCTGGCGGAGTCAAAACTCGTAGCCGGGAAACCCTTCTCCAAGAAAAAAAAGTATATGTTCAGTTGCATAACCCTTGAAATTCTATATTTATAATTTGTGTTTATGGTTGTATATATATATTTTTTTATAAGAAACGAAAATTAATGAAAAGAGGGGACAAGTCCACCAACAAAAATGGAAATACAAAAATGATAGACTAAAGCAAGAAAGAAAATAGTGGTTTGAATTTAAATATTTGGATTTCCCATTTGTTTATTTGGTGATTTGAAGGTAATCTGTTAAGCTATAATGAAGAAAGAAAGATCAACGTTGACCGATCAATTCTATTGAATCAGTAAGAAAATAGTGACTCAGGGCCTGCTAATAGAATTAATTTAGAAGCCCATGGAAATCGGTTCAAGCTGTTGTAGAAGTTTTCTATTAACAAGTTAATTGGAAGAGCTGCGGATGTCTGGTGTGAAGAGCCGCGGAAATAAACACTCCAGAGGTTCATTTTAACACCATTTATCTTTCCAAAAAAAGATTTTGTTCCCGTTTCCCACTCTCATTTGACATTTTGAAGAAGAGAATTCAGCCCCTGAGAGATAAATTTCCCATTTCCCACTCGCAATTTGACATTTTGAAGAAGAGAATTCAGCCCCTGAGAGATAAATTTCCCATTTCCCACTCTCAATTTGACATTTTGAAGAAGAGAATTCAGCCCCAGTGATAAAAGATGTTAGTTTGTACTGAAACAGATTCTTAAAAGGCTACTTGGTTTTTGTTCTCGTCAAGGAGTTTGAGTTCAAATTTAGCTTTGATGTGCTGCCCAAAAAAAGAGGGAAAGGCCACTAATTCTGCAGTACGAGGCATTTCTTAACATCCATCCAGTCCAGTCCAGTCCAGTCTGTTGGAATATGCTCCAATGGAAACCAGCTATCCAGGTCCCAGGGGTATATCTTTGCAAAAACTTGCAACCAGCTTCTTACCTTGTGCTCCGTCGTTTGGCCATTTTTTTTCTCCGTGTACTCTCCGATTTTGTCGTTCATAGATTTCCTTCTTCACCCCACCCTTAAAAGTAATTTTCAAAACAAGGATCCAAGACTTAAGGGGCTAGGTTTTCTTGAGAGCAACAGGGGGCTAGGTTTTCTCGAGAGCAAATTTCTAGCGACAATGGGGAATACTCTCCATTGGTTGTCATATTAGCAAATTTCTCTATTCTCAGCCGAGTGCCCGTGAAGGATTTTCTGCAGTACAGGTGGGTGTCGAAGTCGTGGAGTTCCCTAATTGACGGCTCCTATTTCATCAACCTCCACCTCAAGCGTTCTATGGAACGCAGTCTCAGTAGCCAGCATCCCTATTGGGCCGACCTTGAATTGCTTGTCGACACCAGAACAATCGACCTGCTGGACTGTTAGAGACTTGTTTTGTATGATATAAGATCAGAGTGGTGTACGAAGTTGAAGATTTTGGGTGTTACAAAATCTTTTCGCGCTCTTAAGTGTGTGTGGGATGTGCTAGAAATTCCAAAGGTCTATTTTTAATGGTCTACATTTCAAAAGAGAGATAAATTGGTGATCAAAATGATAACGGCTCATAAGAATTGATAGAGGGAAAGTTTCTATTTTTGGTTTTTTTGCACGTGTATTTCCATCGTCATCTGAGGGCTCTTATGGGGAACAGAAAAATTAACAAAAAGCTTTACTTGTTCTGCTGAAAAGATGTTAATACACTTGCTTTGTACAAGTACTTGCAAATGGAGTAATATAGTCTCTTTTACCTTGGTATGGAGATATAGATATAGATTAGTAAGGCCTTGACAGGTTCCTAATTCTACTTGTCTGCTCCTATTTGCAGGCGCAGCTCGTCTACTGAATCGTCGCCTCACCTGTGTAAAGAATGCTCCTTTGATGAATTTCTGTGAAAGCGATGACGAATCTTAAGAAGGTTGTTGCTAAAGCTTATACCGCCCACCAAATGTCGGACAAGGATCTATCAACGACGATTAGCAACAAAATTTAAATACAACTTTTTAGCCACAACAATATGCTTTATTGAAGAAGTTTAGGGATGACAGTGAGGCTTTCAGCGATAAATCAGATGCTGCTGAATCCCCTTTTTCTTGTAGTGAGAGTCTAGAAAGAATCCGAATGTGAGTTAAAAGGAGAAATGAAGTGACTTGTTCCCAAATTGTGTTTGAGAAATTTGAGATGATACATGCAAAACAAGGCAATATCTAAATACTGAGTTTTATGTAGTGTTGTTATTTAGCACTCTTTCATGTCATACATGCCAGCCGACTAGTTTTACATGGGCTACTTGAGATTGTTGACCAGTTTAGAGAAAATTGGTGAACTTAGATTTTTATTTTTTTACTCTTAATTAATACTCTTTTGACTAATATAGTTTTTTGACTAAAAGATATTAATTAAGAGTAAGCGGTAAAAATTTAAGATCCATGTATTTTAATCTGAATTTTTCACGTTTCTTTCTGTTAATCTGAATTTTACATCATTTAACGCTACATAATTGGGGGATAATTTTTGAGATCTTTGTCAATATCTTATTGTAAAAGAAGAAAACAACAGTAATATGTTAATTGTTTACCAATATACCTTTGGTAGGAAACGAGATGGGGAAATGGTACATTTAAAAGCCAACCAAGTTTCTTGCTACTTAAGAAATCTACCACCATTGAATCATCCAAAAGTATTACAATTAAAAAACAAAACAATTACAAGGGGAAAAAAAAAAAAAAAAAAAACTTCATATTTTCTTAACATCCTTGGTCTGCTTAGCAGTTTTGTCCTCCAAAAATATTTACACAAAGATTGATTACCAATAAGACCCTCAAAATTAAGCCACCAAGAAGCGAACAACAAACAAACAAACAAAACAATAATAAATAATAAATAATAAAATGTGTTTCTTCTAACTCAACGCACTAAACCCACCTCCCTTCATCATCTCCCTAAACTCCTTGTAATTGACCATCCCATCACCATCCACATCCACCTTCATGATCATCCTCTTGCAATCCTCTACGGTCCGTCCTTGCTTAAGACCGAGCGAAGCCAACACTGATCTCAGCTCATCGACGGTGATGAATCCATCTCCGTTCTGATCAAACACGTCGAAGGCCTCCTTCATGTCCCTCTCCTCGTTGCGCTCGTCCATAATGGATCGGTAGAGCTCTCCGAACTCGCTTATGTCGACGCAGCCGTCGCCGTCGGCGTCGATTTTGTCGATCATCTGGGAGAGCTCCTTATCCGGGATGAAGATGCCTAAATTCTCTAAGGAATCGCCTAGCTCCTTCTTCGTGATGTGTCCGTCGCCGTTCCGGTCGAACATTTGGAAGACCCGGTTCAGCTCGGTTTGGCTCATTCTTCTCTGGTGGGAACGAGAGGAAGGCGGTGATGAAGGCGGAGATGGTAGTTGGTGAGAGAACCAAGAAGATGGTAAGAAGGGAATTAGCTTTTTGGGCACCAAAAAACGGAAGAATGAGTTTAGGAGGTTGTAAATAAGGAAGATCCTTGGCAAAATAGTTGGCATTTGAAGACTGTAAACAGAGAGAGAGAAAGATGAGAGAGGAGAGAGAGAGAGAGGAGGGTCTTGTTTGTTGGGTGGATGGGCGTTTGTTGAGAAAAATTTGGAGACAAAACTGGCCATGTTTATAGGGACGGAGAAGAAAATGAAAAGTATGGCACTTTTTACGCGTATTAGGAGGGTTATTATATTATTGTTTATGTGTTTCTCATAGTGATCAATACGTACACTAATTTACAATTTCCCAAAAACGCGTTGTTATAATTAATGTTTGGTGCTTGTGTTTATTATTATTATCATGACTTGGTAGTGTGTGACTTAATCAATTGGGAATGGGGTTTTTTTTTTTTTTTTTTTTTTTGTAGTTGGGTTTTTATTTTGAAACTTTGGGTACTTGGATCCTCATTTTAAAATTTTAGACAAATGAGTTTCCAAATTAACTTCCATTTTTTTTACACTTCCATTATTTTTTTTTTTTGTACTTGGGGTTTTATTTTGAAACTTTGGGTACTTGGATCCTCATTTTAAAATTTTAGACAAATGAGTTTCTAAATTAACTTCCGTTTTTTGATACTTTTATTTTTTTTAGTTAAATGAGTGCATTTAGTTAATGAATTTGTGTCCTGATTCAAATCGTAATTTATAATTTATTATAATATTTTTTTTTATAAAAATACACATAAATAAAAAATAATTTTAAATTTATGAATTGAACATGCATGCTTTGTTGAGTGGTTCTTTTGGTTTTGCTTTGGATTTAAAATAATGTAACCGTTGATAACGGATCTGGAATACGACAGGACAGGAGGAGGAGATTGATGACTGGAAATGATTAGAGCCGGCAGATAACGACCGTTGGATTCGTTCAACGGCTACTTTTGCGTGATTTGTGGGTTTCTTACACGTGGCATGTTAAGGAGAAAGCAGAATGTGGATTTTGGCACCTCATTACTGGAGTCTTGGACGACCTTTTTCCTTTTTTTTTTTTTTTTTTTGAGTCTCGGAAGTGACAAATGTGTCCGTTAACCAAAAAAGAAAAAGGCGACAAATGTGTCACTTATCAAAAAGAAAAAGAAAGACCAAGAAGAGTCACCAATGTTTTCTCAGAAAATGACAAATAAATAAATAAATAACAGATGTGTAAAAAGTTTTAAGAGCACAAGGTTATCCCATTTTTGTCCGTCTGGTGTTGGCTTGAGATAGGTTTTGTTCATTAATATTCAACAATATTGAACACAACCTTAACACAAAATTAGTCTTCGAAAAAAAAGAGATAAATACTTTTTAGAGTGTATCTGTTTATATCTTTTTTAATTAAAATAATTATATCAATTAAAAGAGTGTTAATTAAAAATAAACGGTAAAAATTTAAACTTATGTTCTAAAAGTAAGTTTAATAATTTTCTTCTAGTGTTAGTGTTCTTTCCTTGTGCTTAAGCCATGTGTTGGACAATTGTTGAGCCTAAAAACAAGAGACGTTTAGTTCATGAATTATAATCATGAGATTAGAATTATTTTTAATTTATGTGTATTTTTTATGAGAGAAAATATTGTAGCAAACTATAAACCATGATTCGAATCAGAGTACGAATCTACTTACCAAACGTCACCCTGATCCCCTATCCCAATTCTACAAAATAATAATAATAATAATAATAAATAAATAAATAAATAAGAAAAAAAGAAAACCCGTCCCATTGATTATCCTCAATGTAACAACTTCATGGTATTCAATTATTTAGTGTGTGAATATAAAATGCAGATAGAGGTGGGGCCACCCCCATAAAGCAGCAAAGCAAATGAAAGAAAATATAAGAAATAAAGTAAAAATCTATATTTATAAATTTTTTTTTCACGGAGATAAATGTGACATAAAAAGTTTAATTAATTGCTAACGTGTTAAATTATCATAAGAAAAATAAAAACTGAATCAATACAAAATATTACTTTTTTCTGATTATTGTTTATTTAAAAAAAAAGAAGCAAAAAAACAAAACAAAAGAAGATCTTTAGCGGGAAATTTGACTCATGGTCTCCATTCATGGACAACCACTAAGCAATGGGTCCAAAGGGCATCGTTGAGGGGTCACACTACATCATACTGCTTATAGGTCACAGCTGTTTCCACTCAGTTTTACTTGAAAAAAAAGAAATCCTAATTAGAAGCAAAAGTATCTCCAGCTGTCTCTTACTGCTACTCTAGTCAGATCTAGATAGCATACTAACATCACTCTTTTTATCATTTTTATATTATTTAACACGTAAATTTTACTTTATTTAAATAAGAATATATGATTTTAGTAGAGTTTACGTGTCAAACAGTAAATGTAAAGAGTGACAGAAAGAATAATGCTAATAATTTTCTTTTACTTACTGATGTTTAGAAAACTCAAATAGATACCAAACTACAAAACTTTTTCTGGAAATAGTAGAAAATAGGCCAATATGAAAAGCTTAAGAAAGTATATAGGCCAATTTTTAGTTATAGAAATTAATATGTCATAACTTGTCAAGTTATGGTTCATAACCAGATAAGTTATAGACAAACTTGTCAAGTTATGGTTCATAGCCAGACAAGTTATGGATAAAAACCGTGAATAACTTGTCAAGTTATAATTTATAACTAGACAAGTTATGGATAAAAACAGTAATTTGGCCTATTTATTAACTTATGTAAACTATTAGCCTATTAATTTTAATTCATCTCAAGTCTTGACCTATTTTCCTCTTTCTCCCAAACTTTATTGAGTGCCACTATTCATCCAGATGGAGTTACAACTTTGCTACTCACATGAGGTGAGTTTCTATAGGTAAATAGGTGAGACTTATGCCCCGTTCATTTCACCGATTCGAGTTTAGAATTCGAGTTTTGTTACAGCAAATAGCTCTCAGAAGCAGTCACATCTAACTTTTTTGCGACAGTAAAAAAACTCTCACATAAAATCACATATTAACTCAAATTAAAAACTCGAATAAGCGAACTAAATGAGCCCTTAATATAATAGGACCAACCACTTTGTTAGGGTAGAATATCAACCTCACCCATTTTTGAACTTTATTTCAATAACATAAAAAGTGTCCACTATACACGTATACACACACAATTATATTCACTTCATGTGAAGGCCATTACTTCTCTTAGGAAAATTTGTCTTATAAAGTGAACTTAGCAAAATGACTGTCTTTTCATTTTTACACAGAACGACCACTTGATCGCAGTGTAAATAGTAGCCGTGTGCGATTGTTCTGAAGTTATTATTAGCCGAATAGTATGGATAATACAAAAGAGGAACAAGTTAAGGAAGAACAAAACCGAAATTCATACAATTATAATTTAACCTTTTTATCAAAACTCGGAAATGGAAATTGTAAGAATGTTTTGTAAATACAAATTTTTTTACAATAATTTTAAGAATAAAACTTCCCATAAAAATTACTTTTAAAAAGAGCTGACAAGTATAATTGAGCAACTATTGAGCTAACAACTGTTGGTAACGCCATTTTGTTATAGAAATCTTCTATCTTTGTAATGAATCAAGACTTTAGGTCAAAAGTAGAATGAAATTTATAGAATTATTTGACTGAGCTTGAGATTTATTTTATATGTACACAACAATGGTGTCAAAGACCCAAAATGATAGCGTTTATGCAACTTGTGAATTGGTAATTACTTACCTATTAAAAGTAGTATATACAGAAGTTGCTTAAATTATTGGTTGTATTTAATAAACATAATAGGTTGACCAAGCTTCTAATAAAGATGCTCCACTAATGAGGAACAAATTAAGACTATTGTATGACTATTTCATTACAACTGGCCATACAATTGGGAGACATATCTGTCTGCATATGTTCCTGAGCTGGCCCCTCTCTCTCTCTCTCTCTCTCTCTCTCCTTCTCTCTCTCTCTTTCTCTCTCTCCTTCTCTCTCTCTTTCTCTCTCTCTCTCCTCTCTCTTTCTCTCTCTCTCAATGAGATGCTGTGCCAGATCTAGGCCTTCAATCACGCCTATGCGAGCTCCAAGGCCAAAGGAGAGGAAAAAAAAAATTAGGTCAACCTTTTAGTGGATAATTTTATAATTAGTTAATTCATTAAGCAAACAAAAGAGGATTAGTTTCATAAATGCCCTTGAACTTTGTATCTTATTTTAACATGTTCCTAAACTTTTCATACGTTAAGAGTACAATGAACATTTTTTAAAGTTTAGGAGGCATGTTGAAATACGGTACAAAATTTAATGACATTTATGAAATTAATCCTTAAAAAAAGGTCTAACAACAAGGTAGTGAACAGTTTTCACAACTTCGCCGACTACGCAATGTAACATTGAGTATGGAGTATAAGTGAGACGTGATAGTGTTGAAATAAGGTGTAGAACCAATACCATCAATTAATTCTTACAACAAAATAAACAAATAAATTTAATCTTGATGAAACATGCCCCGAACTTTTTAATCAGGTGTAATTTATACCTTTTCGTCAAATTTTATTGTGTTTTTAACCATAATGCATCACGTGCAAAGCATGTGAGCTAATAAGGGAGGGTATTTTGGTAAAATAATAATAATTATATTTTAATAAATTTACGCTGACATCTCCTGTACTTTATTAAAATAATTTAGACACTCTCTTGACATAAACTAATCAAGTCAACTGTAACGATCCGCGTTTTCGAGTTACTGACTGTGACTTATAGTGAAAACCATTTTATTTTTCAAAACTCAAATACTTTAGTTGGTAAAAATTGGATTTTTTTTTTAAAACTTATTTTAAAATGACTATTCTTCAAATGTACAAGTCTCGGAACTTATTTAAATGAATTAGAGACGAAGTTCAAACTAAAATATCAGCAACGCGTAATATTGCAATTATAAACAGTTTCCAAATACTCAAAGTCAACATAATCTACACTACAAGAAAGTGGTAAGCACCATTGTCATTGCCAAAAACTTTTTAGCGACGACATGTCGTCGCCAAATAGTCGTCGCTGTAGATCCATCGCTAAAAATGATTTTGGCGACGGCTAACCTATCGTCGCTAATTCTTCTGTACAGTGACCGAATTTTTTTCACTATAAATTGCATGATCTGTCACTGAAAACTTGTTAATTTTTCGTTCCCTTCGATGTTCTTGTACATTTAGCGACGATGTAATTCAAATTGT